GCTCCTCTCCCACCTTCACATGCCTTTTCTCCTCTGAGTTATTGCCTCTCCTCCTCCTCCTCCTCCTCCTCCTCCTCCTCCTCCTCCTCCTCCTCCTCCTCCTCCTCCTCCTCCTCCTCCTCCTCCTCCTCCTCCTCCTCCTCCTCCTCCTCCTCCTCCTCCTCCTCCTCCTCCCTCCTCCTCCTCCTCCTCCTCCTCCTCCTCCTCCTCCTCCTCCTCCTCCTCCTCCTCCTCCTCCTCCTCCTCCTCCTCCTCCTCCTCCTCCTCCTCCTCCTCCACTTCCAACCGCCATCCTCATTCCCACTCTACACACGCATGTCTGCTCTTTCCCACTCGTTATCTTGATAGCTTCCACCTATCTCTCTGTGTTGGCCCATGCACGCAGCAGCGTCCAAGATCGACAGCCCACAGCCACCAGCATTGGCCAGCCCTGTAGGCTCCCCCGCAGCACCACCTAAAGCAACTCTTCCCAACAGGTGTGGTGGCACTGTTCATTGGATATGGTAACATGTCACAATCAACGCTTTCCAGTCTATGCTCGGAATTGTTGAATGTGCTTTTCTGATCTGCCTTTGCTTCAGTTATCTCGAACTTTCCCTGATGTGATTTATTTTTCCTGTTCTTTTTTCTGCATGACAGGCAAAAGACACTCCTTAAGGCAATTGTTGAAGTGAAACCAAAACGGGCTCGGCTTGACTCAAGCCAAGGAACGGAAGCATCGACACAAAGCGAGCAAGCATCAAATGGTGCTGTCAAAGCGTTCAGCCTGGGTGCTTCAGCCATAGCCTCGACACCATCAAGTCAAGAGGATGCAAAGAGCTCTCCATCATCATGTGAAGCCAAGCAAGCCACATCGACAGACCTTGAAGCGAAACCAACTTCAGTGGAACCTCAAGGACCTGGTCTTCTTGGCCTAGCATATGATGATAGTGATGAGGAGTGACCCCATTTTAGTTTGTACAGCATATATAGGAACATGCATGCCTGAATAATCCAGGCATGTACGATTGGAAATAAAAGATAGTGTAGCTGAATATGTGCAGTCTTATTCGTTAGACCGTAGAAAGGCAGGTTGGGGACCCGCATCACGCATTCTCTACGTCTGACAGGCAACACCGAAGTTCCAGAGCCTCACGCACTATTTCGCCGAGCGAAGATTTTAGGCAAGGAGAGGGTCCCGTGCTTGGCGGACGGGAGGGAATGATAGGTGGCCTAAGGTTAGCCTAGAATGACGGCGTGTTTGGGAAAGGGAAAATCGCTCCGGAATTTCCGATCATTCAAAAGTCCGTCGCTATCGGATCCATGAATGATCTTGCTTAGTGTTTTCACCGCGATTCGACCTTGTCAAGCAGAGTATATGACAGTCCCGCGCGCTGTCTGTTGAGGCAGCCTCGTTTCGACATAGAGCCGCCGCGAACGCCTCGATCACACCCGCTCGCTGCGCTGTTCCCTTAGCTCATTCGTTCATACATCAATACTTTAGAAGCTCCGAGACTTTCCTGTCCTTCCTTACCACGTGCAGCTTCTCGCTGCTCATACACCGTGTTCTGAACCTGATCTTTCAGGATCTTCCAAAATTACATACTAGGACTATACGTAGAGACCAATACCTGAACCTATATTGGGGTACACCAGTATCTGGAAAGTCCTAGGCTCTCGCACTCTTCACAGCTTCGAGGCCTGAGGGGACTGAAAACTAGGTTTTCGAGCTTCGCTGCGCCGTGAGTTGCGGAGGCTCGGCCATGGCTACTCCAGAGCAGCTGGTGTTGGAGCTTAGCATTCCCGAGCAGCGGGAGAACGCGCTGCTGGATCTTAGCAAAGTGAGACACTTAATTGGACAGCAGAAAGCGATCGATTCGAGCTTTGTTGGCGTTGCGAGAGGATCAGCGCCGTGTGTTAACGCGTCATCGTGCGTTTCCTTATTGTGTGCTTTTGTGCGGCAGAGACGGGAGGCGTATCCCGACCTTGCGTTGCTTCTGTGGCACAGCTGCGGTACAATCACAACTCTTCTACAGGCACGTTCTCGTTAGATACAATCACAGCACTCTTACAGCCACGTGCTACTATCACAACCCCCACCCGTATTCTCAATAAATCATATGCGTTTTCTGCTCTGCTATGACATGCTATGCTTGCATGCACCAGGACGTGGTAATCGTCTACTCCATGCGATCACCGCCACTTATGAGACACTTAATTACACGACCTTCGATCCCGTGCTATGTCATGCCATGTGCTGTGTTGTGATGCCATGCCATGCCATGCGTGTGCGCCCAACAGGAGGTGGTGGCGATATACCCCATGCTATCGCCGCCCACGCTCACAGCGGGGGCGTCCAACCGCGCGTGCAACGCGCTCGCCGTGCTGCAGTGCGTCGCCTCGCACCCTGAGACGCGCGTGCTCTTCCTCAATGGTACCCCCTCATGCTCACTCATATCTGATTTATCTGTTTTGTTTTGTTTTTGTTTTTGTTTTTTTTTTTGTTAGTCTGGGAATCCCTCCCACCCTCCCCCCTCGCAGAACCATTCTACCTTCCGTTGCTTTGCTCGTACTTTCCCCCTCCACGCCCCCCCATGGCATGACACCCGCCTCCATTCCTGCTGTCCGTGTTCTCTTCCCTGTACCGCTACGCACTCCTTCACTTCCGAATTGTCTGTCTCCCCCTCGCCAGCGCACACGCTACTTCACTTTATCCTCAACATTGCCCCCTAAGCCTCCTCCCACCCTCTGCTCCCGCACCCACCGCACCCCGCACTTCCCCCACTCTCTCCCCCCCCCCCCATCAGCGCACATACCGCTGTACCTGTACCCGTTCCTGAACACGGTCAGCAAGACCAACCTCCCCATGCCCTCTGTTCCTCTCCCCCATTTCTTCCCCCCAACAGCGCACATCCCGCTGTACCTGTACCCGTTCCTGAACACGGTCAGCAAGACGCGCCCCTTTGAGTACCTGCGCCTCACGTCCCTGGGCGTCATTGGCGCCCTCGTCAAGGTCAGTCAACAAAAGTCAAGGTCAGTCAACGCGGGTCAAAGATGCTGTCAACGGGGATTCAACAGGTTTAGGCCAGTTGTTCTAAGCCAGTAACAGCAAACCAGCTGATATGGCCCTTGGTCGTTGCCGGTCCACCCTCCTGCCTGACCTGACAACCCATGTCAATGCTCACCTCCTCATTCACCATGCACCCCTCTCCACCTTGGCCCGTCCACTGCGCACTATTCACCGCACTCCACCGCTCATTTCTCATCTCTTGGCATGGCGTGCCCACCGCAGGTGGATGATACAGACGTGGTCAACTTCCTCCTCTCAACGAAGATCATCCCTCTCTGTCTGCACACCGTGGAGATAGGGTCGGAGCTCTCCAATACCTTCACCTTTCTCCACCCCTCTGCACCACTCTTCCTCTCATTGCCCTGATGCCACTGCAGGTGGATGATACAGACGTGGTCAACTTCCTCCTCTCAACGAAGATCATCCCTCTCTGTCTGGACACCATGGAGATAGGGTCGGAGTTATGCAAAACCGTCATCTCTCTCCGTTCCTCTGCGCCGTTCATCGGTCTCATTGCACTGGTGTGTTTTGCCGCAGGTGGACGATACAGACGTGGTGAACTTCCTCTTGTCAACGGAGATCATCCCGCTCTGTCTGCGCACCATGGAGATGGGGTCGGAGCTCTCAAAGACAGTCGCCACGTTCATAGTGCAGAAGATTCTGCTGGACGATGTGGGGCTCGCCTACATCTGCGCCACTGCTGAGAGGTTCTTCGCTGTGAGTGCCTGGGTACTTTCGGGCAGTGGTGCCGCTGGGCAGTGGTGCCGCTGGGCAGTGGTGCCGCTGGGCAGTGGTGCTCATGGCGCACGTGTGGTGCAGTGCAAAGCCGTTCTGTGCGGTAGGAGGTCAAGGAAGGGGGCGTGATGCATGGTGAAACTTCTAGGCTACTTGGCGCAGGTGCGGGCGATTCACCCCTCCTTCCGTCTCCTTAAACACATCATTCACATCATTCTTCCCTTGTTGTGTCCCACCCTCCCAGGTGAGTGCGGTCCTGGGCAACATGGTACAGCTACTAGCAGAGCACCCCTCGGTCCGCCTCCTGAAGCACATCATCCGCTGCTACCTCCGTCTCTCCGACAACCCCCGTGCGGGCGAGGCCCTGCGAACCTGCCTGCCAGATCTCCTCCAAGACGCCACCTTCTCAGCGTGCCTGCGGGACGACGTCACCACGCGCCGCTGGCTCGCGCAGCTCCTCATCAACGTCGGCCCGCCGCTGCACCAGGGGGGAGGCGGAGGGGGCGGGGGAGTGGGAGGGGCTCCCCCTGGCCCCCCCCAGGCGCTGCATGGCGGGGGAGGGAACCCCGTGCATGGGGGGCCGGGGGAGGTGGGGTGGGCATGCATGGGGGGGGAGGAGCAGGGGCGCTGCACTCGTCGTCACCGTCACCGCTCCATGGGACCTCGTCTCCAATGCATGCTGCACAGCGGCCGGGGCAGATGGGGGGACCCATGGGGGTGGTGGGGGGCATGGGCGGAGGCGTGGGGGGGATGGGCCTTCCCCCCATGGACACACTGCCCCCTGTGAACTGAGGGCTGCTTATGTAGTTGTTTGTGCAGCGTTTTTTATCCCAAGATGAGATAGAAGGATCCAGCAGCTGGCTGCTTCACTTGCCAGACTCACTCACTGGTGCAGTGGCAATGGCACTGGCTGTAGCTGTATGTGTAGTGGTGTAGTTGCAGGTGGAAACCTTGTGGGCTGATCTTAAGGTCATTTCATTCATTGACTAGCCATATACGGTAGGCCCACTGGTTGCGCCTCTTTAAAATGCAATATGGTATGGTTGGTACTAGTTACTAGTACCATTGCACTGCCGTAGTAGTGCCGTATGTATGACTGTTGCCTGGTGGACAGACAGCCTTCACCTTTGGCTCATACATGCACAGCCTCCCCAGGGCAAGGAATGGAAATTGAGTGCCGAGGCTGCGAGGCCCTGCCCCTGCAACGTGAAATGGATTATTTAAGCTTGAAAGCAGCTTCCCAGTCACCATCAAATAAGCTGTCGTCATCATCATCATCATCATCATAGTCATCACTACTGTTGACCAACTGGTTGCCTTGGAGAGGCTTCTTGCTCTTCTCACCGCCTCTGCCCTGTGCTCTAACATCCACCGCAGACCCCTGCACACTGCGCACCGATGCCTTACGGACCCGTGAAGGTTCCCTCTTTCCTGGCGTGACTGTGTGCGGATTGACTGTACGGCGCTCTTGCACTGGTGCTGGCACCACAGAAGAAACAGCAGGGGCTGCAGGGAGTGCAGTGGCTGCAGAGCCTTGAGGTGGGTGAGGCGGTGGAGGGAGCAGAGCTTCTGCTGGAGCGATTTACTCTTGGGCAGCACAGCAGTGGCTTGCACACCATGGGACTCGAAGTAGGAGCGCAGGAGAACCTGGGAGGAGGGGAGGGTGAGGGGGAGAGGGGGTGTGTGGAGTGTTGAGGCCAAGGGGCCTTGGGAGTCTGTGAGACGAGTGTGAGAGGTGCGGATGAGAGATTGAAGGGGGGATGACAGTTTTTTTAGGCGCCTCAAGAGTGAGAGGTGCAGATGAGGGATTGAGAGGCGTGAAGAGGGGGAAACAAGCTAACAAACGAGCATATGACTCTACGATGTGCATGCAACTCTCCAAACCGTGTGTTGTTGGCCTATAAAGTCTCGTTTTGAGGAGATGAGGAGGGGTACCCACAGCAGCAGCAAAGGCATCAAGCATCTCTTGGCGGTCCTTCCTGCCACGCCCACTGATGTGCACGGGGTTGGGGGAGAGAGGGGACGAGGGAAGGGTAGAGAGGGGGGAGGGAAGGGTAGAGAGGGGGGGAGGGAAGGGTAGAGAGGGGGGGAGGGAAGGGTAGAGAGGGGGGAGGGAAGGGTAGAGAGGGGGGGAGGGAAGGGTAGAGAGGGGGGGAGGGAAGGGGAGGGAAGGGTAGAGAGGGGGGGAGGGAAGGGTAGAGAGGGGGGGAGGGAAGGGTAGAGAGGGGGGAGGGAAGGGTAGAGAGGGGGGGAGGGAAGGGTAGAGAGGGGGGGAGGGAAGGGTAGAGAGGGGGGGGGGGGAGGGAAGGGTAGAGAGGGGGGGAGGGAAGGGTAGAGAGGGGGGGAGGGAAGGGTAGAGAGGGGGGGAGGGAAGGGTAGAGAGGGGGGGAGGGAAGGGTAGAGGAGGGGGGAGGGAAGGGTAGAGAGGGGGGGAGGGAAGGGTAGAGAGGGGGGGAGGGAAGGGTAGAGAGGGGGGGAGGGAAGGGTAGAGAGGGGGGGAAGGGTAGAGAGGGGGGGGGGAGGGAAGGGTAGAGAGGGGGGGAGGGAAGGGTAGAGAGGGGGGGAGGGAAGGGTAGAGAGGGGGGGAGGGAAGGGTAGAGAGGGGGGGAGGAGGGAAGGGTAGAGAGGGGGGGAGGGAAGGGTAGAGAGGGGGGGAGGGAAGGGTAGAGAGGGGGGGAGGGAAGGGTAGAGAGGGGGGGAGGGAAGGGTAGAGAGGGGGGGAGGGAAGGGTAGAGAGGGGGGGAGGAAGGGTAGAGAGGGGGGAGGGAAGGGTAGAGAGGGGGGGAGGGAAGGGTAGAGAGGGGGGGAGGGAAGGGTAGAGAGGGGGGGAGGGAAGGGTAGAGAGGGGGGGAGATGAGAAAAAGTGGAAGGAACAAAAAACAAGAGGCTAGCAGTTCAGATGGGCGATATGTGGATGTCTTGTCTCCACGTGTAGGAGACAGTTGAAGTGATACGGTGGCTGCTGACGTGGCAGCTTACGATTGGATCATGAGGTCGAGAGCATCTTGAGATGTGCTGTACTCGTCGTGTAGGAACACTCTCACCCCCCTGTGTGAGCATGGGCATACAGGATAGGTGGGTACACATGAGACACACATGATACATGAGACACACGTGATACATGAGACACACGTGATACATGAGACACACGTGATACATGAGACACACGTGATACATGAGACAGAGACGGCAGAGCAACGCATGAGTCCCAGGGATGGAGGGGAATGAATATGGAAGATATTCGACCAAGCACAACAACACGAGTAGAGTCATCAAGCCCACTCACTGCACCGCAGCTGGTTTGGCCAGCGATTGCGCGAACTGCCGACACGTGGCGGCCTGTGGGCCCTCGGATCGGTCCCACGACACTGGCAGCCCCACCACTAGCTCGTCCGCCCCCTGGACGCGGGAGGGGGGGGGGAAGAGGTGGGAGACCGGGGAGAGGGGGAGACCGGGGAGAAGAGGGGAGACGGGGGGAGTCGGGGGGGGGGGAGATGGGGGGCAGCCCAACCACCAGCTCGTCCACTCCCAGGGGGAGAGAGATGTAGAGGGGGGAAGGGAAGGGAAGGGAGAGGGCAGGTGGGCGAAAAGGAGGAAACAGGATCAAGACAGTCAATCTGCCGACTCAACAACTCGACCCCCATCTCCCATTGTTGCCCCTCCCACATGCGCATCCAGCACCCCCTCGTCTCTCCCCCTCCCACATGCGCATCCAGCACCCCCTCGTCTCTCCCCCTCCCACATGCGCATCCAGCACCCCCTCGTCTCTCCCCCTCCCACATGCGCATCCAGCACCCCTCGTCTCTCCCCCTCCCACATGCGCATCCAGCACCCCCTCGTCTCTCCCCCTCCCACATGCGCATCCAGCACCCCCTCGTCTCTCCCCCTCCCACATGCGCATCCAGCACCCCCTCGTCTCTCCCCCTCCCACATGCGCATCCAGCACCCCCTCGTCTCTCCCCCTCCCCACCCGCTTTCACTCTCGTCGCCCCTGTTCCCAAAACCCCTCCACCCCCTTCTCACCTCTTCCCGTGCCAGCTTCAGCAGGTCTGCCACCAGCTGAGGGCCCCTTGTCGTCAGCACCTGCAGAATCCGCCACCACGCACGCAGGTTCGGAGCCAGAGAGGTTGGGAAGGAGAGAGAGAGAGCAGAGGGGAAAGGGGACACAGTGAGCGAAGGGTGGATGGGGAGGAGAGGAGCGAGCGGCAGAACATGCTGCGGAGGGGATGCGAGGAGGAGATGTGGCATGACAGGAATGAGGGACCCTGGGCTGGGCCATGCGGCAAGGAGGGGTGCCGTGGCGGCCAGAGGGACGACTTGTGAGTCGTGCATGGCTCTATGGACTCACAAGTCGGACATGTTATGAGGCTTACAGCGGGGTTCGCTGACTGCCGTGTGAGTCTCACCGTGATTGGTCGAGGGGCGAAGCCACTGTAGCTGATGGCAACGCCAGTTCGCCGCCCGCCATAGTCCACCCCTATGCTCGCGCCCGCCCTCCGCCTCCCCCCGCCTCCCTCTCCCCCGCTCCCCGTGTCTCTCACCCTTTCCGCCATCAGCTCCGCATTGCTCCGCGGAGAGGGAGGTCCCACTTGCGCCTGCTGCGCGCGGGAACTTTCTCTCCGCGGAGCCGAGCGCGGGATTGCGCGCCCCCGGCCCGGGCGGGGCTCGCGTTCGGCCGCGTCAGCAGCAAGTGGCGCATCTGGCAGTTCAGGGGCCTCCTTCCTGGGGTCTCTATCAGGATCCAACGGTTCGTGTTCTTTCTCGTCTGGGACTGCAAGGGCTGCCGCAATTGGCGCTGCTCTCATAGCGAGGCGCGGTATGGGGCGACTTTCCGCGTGGCGCACTCCATCTATCCGCCTACTGCGCGCAACAGGAAAGGGCTCCGCCCTCCCCGGGTACCGCGATGCATGAGCGAGTGTGCGGGACGACCGCAAGAGGGGAACGCGGGGAGAGAGAGAAGCGACGCGCAGAGGGAGCATAGCTGATGGCATGCATGCCAGAGGTGGGTTAAAATGAGAATACGAGGTTGGGATTGTGCGGAGAAGAGCGATAGAGGGCAAAATGACGACTCCACTGGGGATCGAACCCAGAATCTCTGGTTCCGTAGACCAGCGCCTTATCCATTGGGCCATGGAGTCACGGCTCTCGGCAAAAAGTAGTTAATTCACCTCTTGATCTTTTTTGTACCATTCCCTGCCACTCACGCAATCTTGCTGTACCAGTCACGTGGCCTTGTCGCTGTCTGTCATTCGTCATTTTTCTACCAATCACGCAGTCCATGCGGTGCTGTTCTGGAGCGCGGGAATCCTCCAACTCCCCGTGTTGGAGGAAAGGTGTTGGAGAAATGAGCTGGCAAGCTGACCGCGGGCAAAACAAAATAAACTCCATCGCGAACGAGTCGCATGCCGTTTGCGATGGATTTTAGTTTTTTTCTTGCCCGCGGTCAGCTTGCTCACTCATTCGACTGCCAGCTGACGCTGCAGTCGAATGAACGTTCAATCCCACGAGACCTCACATCACACTCGCCCATCCCTCCCCCCGATCAAACAAACAGTACTGTCAACTGTGTACTGGTCTCAAAACACTCTCGCTCGCCGCGCTCTCGCTCGTCCGTTCCCCCTCGCCTCCCCGCAACCCCCGTGCGCTACCGCTCCCCCTTCCTTCTCCGCGCGCCCGACTTCGTCAGGGGGGACTCACGGCGCTTCCGCTCCGCCCATCCCGCCGCAACCTCGGTGAAATCCCACTGCACGTAGTAGTCACAGTAACAATTTAATCACACCGAAATAAAATGCTCCGTCCGGGATTCGCGGCGGCATCTGCGGCGGGCGCGGCGTGGGCTAGCGATCCCGCGGAGGGGGCGGCAGAGGGGACTGCAGCGCGGGGGGGCGTTTTGGAGGATGCGGGGACGTATGACGTGGCACGCAATGAGAAGTGGGTTTCTGAGGAGAAGGCTCGGCTGCTGACAGTGCAGGTGGGGAGGGGCGGAGTGAGAGGAAGGAGGGGATGGGATGAGGAGGGATGGGAATGGGAGCGAGGGGATGGGATGGGATGCGGAAGGGAAGGGGCGAGGTGAAGAAGGCGAGATGAAGAAGGCGAAAGGGTTCTCAGAAGTGATGTCAATATGGCCGGCATTCCCCTGTTGTGTGTGAGTGGGTCTACAAGCATGGGTGTCTGTGCATGGGTGCATGCGTGTGAGTGCCTGCATGTATGTGCCTGTATGCGCATGTGCTTGTACAGGGCGGCAATGTTCCAGGAGGGCTGCTGTTGACACGTGGCAGCTGGCAATGGGAGGAGAGAAGCCCGTCGCTCTACCGCCTCGTGGGGCGAATGAGGTGAGGGAGCGAGGTGAGGGAGCGAGGTGAGGGAGCGAGGTGAGGGAGCGAGGTGAGGGGAGTGGTAGGTGGATGCAGGAGGTGAGGGTAGAGCGTTGTTGGTTGCAGTGCAGTGCAGAGCAGTGCAGTGCAGTGCAGTGCAGTGCAGCGCAGTGCAGCGCAGTGCAGTGCAGCGCAGTGAGGGCACATGTGTTATTTGAGTCGACTCACAAGTCTCCCCCTTCCTTCGTCTCCCTGCGCCCCGCCCCTCACCCCCACTTTCCACACCATGACGCGCAAGCACGACATCTTCCTCCCGCATGTGACTTCTGAGTCCACTCTAAGCTTTCCCTTGCCGTGCCCCTTGCCGTGCCCCTTTCCATGCCCCCCTCCTCTTCCCCCGCCCAGTTTCCACAACATGAGGCGCAAGCAGGACATATTCCTCCCACATGTGACGGCATGCGTGGCAGTGCTGCTCTCCTCTCACTCCCTCCACGGCATCTCCACCCACGTCTCTGTCAGTGCTACCTCCCCCACACACACTCCCCCACACTCCCTCACACTCCCCCACACTCCCTCACACGCCCTCGCACTCCTTTGCACTCCTGCATACTTCCCTCATTTACTCATTTACCTCATTTACTCACCGCACGATTTTTGAGGCGCCTTAAAACACTTCTCTGTCCTCCCCAACTACTCCGTTCCGTTTGAATCCACTTTATTCACGGTACCACCGCCTCCCCATCCTCACTGCACCTCCTCCTCCCCGCCCCTTCCAGAAGTCTTTTCCAGAAGGCTTTTCTATTCACTGTATCACCTTCTCCTCCTCCTCCTCCTCCTCCTCCTCCTCCTCCTCCTCCTCCTCCTCCCTCCTCCTCCTCCTCCTCCTCCTCCTCCGCCCGCCCACCCGCCCCTTCCAGATTGCTCCGCGCCATCCGGAAGGCGCGCCTGTCCCCCGAGCGGATGGCTACTGGCCCGCATACATCGTCCGGGCAGGCAAGGGCACAGCCATGGAGGTCACTGTTGAGATCCGGGCGGCAGACTCAGATTCAGGTTCAGGGGACGGTGCAACCCTCTCCCACCTCAAGGTACATACAAGGAGCAGAGTTAGGGCAGGGGAGAGAGCAAGAAGAGTTGCCAAGTCATTCTCCCGTTACATTTCATCTCAGCTCCCACCATGTGACCTCCCACCATGTGACCTCCCACCATGTGAGCTTGTATCAACAGCCGATGCCTGGGATCTCCTGCCCACCATCCCCCTCACTCCGCACCAAACACACCCCTCTCCTCCTCGCCTCTATCACTCCCTCCCACCAGGCTGCCCGGCTGGACGTGCACTACCCGGCGTACGGGCCACATGGCAGCCTGCCATTGGTGCAGCACGTCATCCTGCCCCTCGCCTTCCCCCCCTGCCCGCCCCCATCCGCTCCCCACGCCCCCCAATGGCGCAGGTATCCCCCTCCCTTTGCTCTCGCCCCTGCTTGCCCTCACCCCTACTTTCCATTTCCCCTGCCCCTCTGCTCCCCCCCTCCATTCGCGTTCACCGCTGCTCCACACCATTTGAATCCCCCCCCCACCCACCCCTCTCTCTTCCCCCCAACAGCATAGCAGCGGGCATATCAGTGCTGGCCGTGCCAACACACCTTCTCTGCCACCTTGACGACCCGCTCCTCGTGCTGCGACAGTGAGCCACGCCCCGTGCCCTCTCTCTCGCATCGCAACCCCATGCGTCCTCTCACTCTATGATTCTTCCGCGCTCCCACCCAAGTCCAGTCAGTTCAGTTCGAGCTATTAGCCTGTGATGCCAGTTTTTTGAGTTCAGTACACGTCCCACCACATCACACTTCCTCCCAATCTTCACCACCATCCCGCACCGCGCCGCACTGCACCGGACTCCATCCTATCGCATCCTGCCCCCTCCAGCTACGCAGCACCATATCTGCAACCGGGTGACGTGGTGACACTTGGCGAGACGCCATTGGCCATCATGCAGGGCGGCTTCCGCCACCCGGATTCTGTGCCCCCGGGCCTCCTTGCACGCTTGGCCTGCCTCTGCTTCCTCCCCGCCTCCTCCCTCGCTACCGCGTGCGGCATGCAGGTGGGTTGGGGTTGTGTTGGGGGCGAGGGCCGTGGGTGGGGCATGTGGGTGTTGCTGGGGGTGGGGCTGTGTGCATCCGCCATCTGTACTCTCTGCGCCCGGGCCTCCTTGCACGCTTGACTTTACCTGCCGCCTCTTCCTCCTTACCTTGCATCCCTTCCACACCCTTGCATCCCTTCCACACGCTTGCATCCCTTCCACACCTACCCATGCCGTTCCCCCTGGCCCCTCTCAACAGGTGCTTGTTGACTTGGTGGGGGTGGTGCGGGTGATACTGGCAGTGCTGTGCTGTGTGAGTGGTCGCTGCCCCTTTCCCCATACACCACCCACATATACGCCCCTCCCCATGCCGTTCCCCCTTGCCCCTCTCAACAGGTCCTTGTCGACTTGGTGGGGGTGGTGCGGGTGATACTGGCGGTGGTAGTGGCGATTTTGGCGCGGCTGCTGCTGGGAAAGAGGGGAGTGTTCTACCAGCTGGCAGGGTACCAGGCGCGGCTCATTGACGACATCACCTGCACGCTCCCTCCTTACGACCAGTTCATCACCCTCGGCCCTGTGAGCCTTTCTCCTCTCTCGCATATGCCCCCACACACATACCTTTTTAATAGCCCACACAATACAAAAGGCGCACATAGCCCCACACCATACACATACCTTTTTAAGGCGCCGCAGAAGGCTCACATAGCGCCATACACATACAGCCGCATTACACTCACCCTACCCCCTTACGACCAGTTCATCACCCTCGGCCCCCTGCGTGCTGCTTTTCTCTCTCACTACTCTTCCCCACTATTCAGCTGAGCGTGCACGAGACAGTGAAGGGCCTGAGTGCGAAGCTGGGGTGTGCCGTGGCGGTGGTTGATGTCAATGACCTCAAGAAAGTGAAGATCCTCGCTGTGAGTGCCGCCGCGCCTGCATGGGTGGTGAGCAGTGGAGAGCGATGATTAATAGTTACGAGAGGTGAAGAGGGATGCAGCTGGGCTGGGGTGCTGCATGTCAGTAGGCTCAAGGGAGCACCGTTCTTCACAGTGGTGCATGGGTAGTGAGCATCAAAGGGATTATTGAGGATTCAAGAAAGCAGGCCATATCTCATGCCCCATGCCCCATACACATTTCCTTTGCCACGTTCTCATGCCCCATGCCCCATGCCCCATGCCCCATGCCCAATGCCCAATGCGCCGTGCCCCATGCCCCCATGCCGCCATGCCCCATGGCATGCAGGCAACAGCAGGGGTGGACCACAAGAGGCTCACCACAGCGCTGCTCCCTAACCCAGCAGGTGAGGGGTTTAGTGTGGTGCAGAGAGTGTTTCCCGAGGCTGCGCCGATGGTGCGCACCTGTCAGGTGGAGAGAGGAGGGCAGCCGGAGGGAAGCTCTGGGTGCATGCATGGGTGAATGATTGGTTGTTGATTGGCTGTGCAGCACAACGCGTGCAGTGGATTAGATTGTGAGTTGACTCACTCTGCCTGACTCACTGTGTCTGGGTGTGTGAATGCAGGGAATGCAGATCAGCAAACCCCAATTGTCATTGTGCGGGGATGCAGCAAGCCATGAGGAAGCCATGAGGAAGCCGTGAGGAATGATTACCAGCACGTTATACTCGTGCTACCGTTGCAGTACCGTACCATGCTATGCTAGTATGCAGTACCATCGTCGCACCCTATTGCTGGTCACGATCGATAATTGTCCATGGTTTAAGATTCTAGCATTCTAGTTTGAATTGGAACATGTGAATGGAGCAAGGGGTACGACTCGGTAGAATTCAAGCACAAATTTTACTAAGAATTGAAGACTTAACCCTGCAGAAACGTTCCAAGGTGAACTTTTAGCTAACTACCAAGCATTTCTCGCCAACTCAGCAATGAGAGGTG